CTACCTCATGGGTGGACAGATGACTCCTCATTTACATCCGGGAATAACACAGCTTCTGTTATTTTTGAGAAGCGTATCTAAGGAGTGGAGTCCTGGTGTGGCGCTGTGGGTTAACATGCTCGACTGCAAAGTCAGTTTGAACCTCAAGGTTGGTGGTTCAAGCTCATTAGTTGCTCCTCGGAAACCCTATGCAGGATCACTGTGGGTCGGAACTGACTCTACCGCACTTAACAACATCTAAGAAGCAGAAAGTTTCCCTGTGATACTTTTTGGATTGTGGTGTGAAGTGGCTCTTATAATGGGAGCAGTTAGCTCAAGGTATCTCTTTTCTTTCTAGGGGGTAGGAACAGAACTGTGTATAAAGTGTTCTGATATGAAACCTGTCCACACTAGAGTTCCTTTTTCTAGCCTAGTTATAGTGTTTGATTACCAATTCCCCTCACAAGTCTGTGGGTGGCTGCTCTGTGCATTCAGGAATATTTAGCCACAGCTGTTCCCTTCAGCACACTCCTTGGGAATCCTTGAGCCCAAGTTCCTCTTTGCCAGCTAATTGCCACTTGTCGGGACTGCCAGCCTCACTTCACGGTAATTTCTCCATGTGTGGTTAATTGCTCCCTTCAAAAGGAAGGGGAAAAGTTGATTGGAAACATTTTGAACAAAGGAGACATCTGAGGGCCTGTTTGATAAGTCTTTGTGACACTGACAGGTTACAGGGGCAGAGCAGAGACTTCAGCACTGCTGGAGGCTGAGTGACTCAGGAAGTCGGGGTACGCCTCCTTAATGAGGGGACATTTTCTTCTGTCTGGAAAAAGCAAAGTGACCATGCTCGGAAGCAGGAACGGATTGGGGTCTTGTCAGTTCTCATAGGCACAGAGACTTGAACAGGTCCTGGTTTTGGTTTGAGTTCTGTTTTAGATCATTTTCATATAACATTTCCCTTTTCCTCCTCCCTAGCTACTTTGATTTTTGCTTTAAACATGGAAGAAACTGTTCTAGGCAGCTGTAAGTAATTTTCTCAGCCCTTAGTGGGATCAGGAGCCCATGACCTGAGGGCAGTCCAGTCAGGACCCTGCCTCTCATGGAAGCTTCTTCATCTCATCCTTCCAAACTCAGAGGGTTGGAACGTGGAGACCTCTGGAAGTGGGGTTGGGAAGGGACACTTGGCAGGGATGGGGATTCTCCAAACCACCCCCTTTCCCACCAGACGCATCTTTAGGAGGGAAAAGACGTGAGGTTCTAGTTAATCATTTCTTCAATAAATCACTGCCATACTTGCTCCTGCTACAGAGATACATTCTCTCTGAGCTCATCACACCTGTTCTCTGTCCCATTTCAGACAATGGCATCCACCGGTCATCATTGTCCTAGAGTCTGCTCCTCACACCCACACACTGAGTTCTGTCACTATATGCATTTTAAAACTCTCCAATTCTTACTCACACCCTCATCCTCTCTAGTCTGTACTAAAATAATACAATCTTCCTTGCTGCCAGGAAAATCTAGCTAAACTATAAATCTGATCATTTTCCTCAGGGGTCACCAGATGAAGTTCAGAAACCCTGGCATTACATACAAGGCCCTCCAAGGGCTGGCCTCTGTCGGCTTGCTCTCCCCACAAAAGCCTGGACACTGGTAACAGTGGACTGTTTGTTCACAGCTTCCCACACACATCATGCAGTTTTATTGTTTTGCTCACACTACTCCTGTTGCCTGGAAGACAGCAGAAAAGGCAAATCCTGTGGGTGTGACATCTCATTGTCCAATAAGCACAGGAGACACAGTTGTTAGGATCATCCCTGATCCCTGGGCAATAGCGAAGGACCTAGAGGGATGTTAGACATTGGGTGGGAAGGAATCCAGTTGGAAGGCTGGTGATAAGGGCATTTGAGAACTGACTATATCAGCAGGCGGCTGCGAACCTCAAGGTCAGCAGTTCGAAACTACCAGCTGTTCTGTGGGAGAAAGATGAGGCTCTCTGCTCCCGTAAACATTTACAGCCTCGGAAACCCTGTATAGGGTCGCTATGAGTCGGTTCTGACTCCATGGTACATCACCACCACCACCACCAAACAGAGTCAGAGCAAGAGAATTCCCCATGAATGATGCAACAGAATATTCTTAAAACCAGGTCCAAAGCTGCCACTCTATGGAGACCAGTCATTCTCTTTCTCCAGGTAGTCTGGTGTTTGCTGAAAAGACTCAATAACACACTGGCCAGAGTATCAGGGAGAAAGGCTGCACATGGGCTTGAAAACAGACTCATGTCCACAGCCACCCTGCCCCTGCTGAGGGCCCAACAGCAACAGTAATGAGCCCTTCTGAGCACCCAATTCTGCTCAGACAGTAACAGGAATAAACTAAGATTAAGGACTAAGAAGCTTCAATAAAAAGGGACACAAAGAGAAGGGTAGTGCAAAACTGAGAGGTTAACTAAAATATGGGGAAAGAGACACAAAATATAAGAGCAAACAACTATTTCAAACACAAATTGCATGGAGGTTTTAGGACCCAGAAAATGGTATGAGAGAGGATGTTGAAGCTATCACTAGAACATTTTGGATTTTCCAGGTTTCTAAAGCAATAGACACCTATCTGAAAGCAACATGGAATGCAGACAATGGATAGTTTGTGGGGAGTTCTCAATTAGGGAGCTCATTTGTGATTGGGTGTAGGACTGGATCTGTGGGCTGGGGGCCTCCTTAGAGGTGTGTACCTAGGCTGCACACACATGCACCTAGGCTGCACAAGCAAGTGATGCAAATGAGCAGTCTCCTCTCAAGGTGGATTCCTGACTCACCTTAATTACCTCATCTCTGAAAAATATCTGGTATACACAGTGGTCCCAAATAGCCATGTCTGTACTTAGTGATCCTGTCTTCCCAGCCACAAAGAACTTCCTGACTAAAGTTGAGCTGGAATTCTAGGAATCTGGAATTTTGAAGAAGACTTAAAATATTTACTGATGAAGATCAAAGAGCACAGCCTTCGGTATGGATTACATATCAATGTAAAGAAAACAAAAATCCTCACCACTAGACCAATAAGCAACATTCTTATCAATGGAGAAGAGATTGAAGTTGTCATTCTTCTTGGATCAACTATCAACACTCATGGAAGCAGCAGTCAAGAAATCAAACGACGTAAAGCATTGGGCAAATCTGCTGCACAAGACCTTTTTCAAGTGTTGAAGAGCAAAGATGTCAGCTTGAGGACTAAGGTACGTCTGACCCAAGCCATGGTATAATAACCTCTTATGCCTGCGAAAGCTGGACAGTGAATAAGGAAGATCATAGAAGAATTGATGCTTTTGAGTTGTGGTGTTGGAGGAGAATATTGAAAGTGTCATGGACTGCCAAAAGAACCAAGAGATCTGTGTTGGAAAAAGTGCAGCCAGAGTGCTCCTTGGAGGCCAAGATAGCCAAACTTCATCTCTCATACTTCGGACATATTGTCAGGAGGGACCAGTCACTGGAGAAGGATATCATGTTTGGTAAGGTAGGGGATCAGAGTAAAAGTGGAAGACCCCTAACAAGATGGATTGGCCAAATGGCAGCATCAATGGGCTCAAGTGTGGCAACAGTAGTGTGGTTGGTTCAGGACCGGGAAGTGTTTCGTTCTGCTGTGCATAAGGTCGCTATGAGTCGGCACCAACTTATGGCACCTAACAACAAACAACAACAACAACCTAGGGAAAAAAGCAACAAGGGTATTCACCGTGCCTAGAACGATGCTGACATAGCAGGAGCTCAGTCAAACATTTAGGGAAACTGTCTAAAGAGAAGCAGCTACTGAAGTCAAGGACCTGGAACCATCTGTCTCTGCCCTTTCCCAAGCCTGGGTGTTGAACTCTTCATTGGATTCCCTGAGACACTCTGATACCCTTCCAGAAAATTCCTCTATGTAAGACTGCCAGTCCTACTTACAACCAAAATGTTCTTCATACCTACACAGGGCTCTTCTACCACGTTAAAAAGAGGCCTGTTCTCCTAAAGCAAGCTTTCTGATTTTCAAACCCATCAGCTGGGTGAAGCCGCTCAGAGGGGTCAGTTTGTTTCCTCTGTCCTACGAATTCTCCATCTGCGCTCAGCCATATCTGTTGCCCATATCTTTCTAACCATCCATAAAGTGTGTCACAGATGTCTTTGAGAATCTAATCAAAGCTATGAACTTTCTTCCTAAGAAAAAAGCAATGCCCATAGATACCTACACACATAAACACAAACCATTGTGTGACATTTTAAGGCAGGGATGGGGAAATCATTTGGTCTGGCCCTGCCATGGCGACCTCAGTTCCAGCCAGCACATTATAGCAGACTCATTTTTAAGTTGATAATTTTGTATGGCCCACAAATGACCTTACAAATATCCAAATGGCAGAAAAAAGTTTCCTCACCCTTTAATGTTTAAGGGTTCTAGGGACTCCAAGAACTCCAGCTAGAGTGTCTCCAATGTTGATGACTGTCCGAGACAAACTGTCATCTTTTCAAAAACTTAACCAGCTGATTTCACCAAAGGTGCATTGTGTTTGGTGGCAGCAACACGGTCTCTTCCTTGGAAATTTTAAGTTAACAACCCTCCAACAACTGCCCCCTCCCCTCATATGGGAAGGTCACCTAATTCCCAGGGTCCTGAAAATCCAAATGGCCTGATTCTGGCCAAGCAGCTGCCTGTGGACCCTGATGCCGCAGAACAGAGGGAGGGGCTGACACTGGAGAAGCCACAGAAACTGGCAAAGTGCTTCCTGGTGCTACAACGGAGGCTGTGGTGCAGGGAATCCTCTCCCCAAACAACTTCTCCATTGTCAAGAAGCCTGGTATTTCCGAAAGTTGTGCCAGGTCTGGCAGCCCTGTGGTTTCATTAGGAGTGCAATCTAAGACCTGAAAGGGATCCTGCTTACTAACAACATAGCCCTCACCAGGCAGCTACTTAAGTGAAAACTGCACCCTATGTGCTGTTCCCTGTGGCTGCTGTTCCTTGTAATATGGAGAGGATCATGTTACCTTAGTCAGCTGCTGCTCGGAGGAAAATCCCAAACCGAACACCGTGTTGGCTCTGCTGTCTGCCCACTGCCCAAACTTCTGCGACGTTTTGGTGAAAGTCATATTTGGGGTGATTGTACTGTTTATGATCACCTGCAGAAAAAAAAAAAAAAAAAAAGCCCATAGAGGGAACATTTAAACCAAACTGAAGTAGACACCAAAGGATCTCCTTACAAAGTCTTCAGTGGATAAAGCTAGTACCTAAAGCATGTATCTTTCACCCAGGCTGAGTCAGATACTCAGCCATGATGAGGGGCAATTTCAGAAACTTCAAACAGGCAGGCAGTCTAAAATAAGATCTCACAAGTTATCAGTGGAAGAAATTCTCTCCTACGCAGAAAACAGTTTCTAACCTGCTATTTATTTCCCCAAAGTAGCCAGCCCTTCCTGTCTGACTACGTCGCATATTTCCTCAAGAATGGAGCCATTTACCCTTCTTTACGCATCTGGAACCCCAGTGTCCTGCTCAAACCACTTAAAATCTCCACACGCAATCAGGACCTGCTGCTTCCTAACACAGGAAGGAGAAGGTTCACTCTCATTAGGATAATTTGTAGGGGTTCACTTACAATGAGACTAATTATAAAGGTGTGAGCAGGGTGTAGGAAAACTAGCTGTCACCACTCTCAGGCCTAAAAGGACAAGGGATGGAGGTTATAGTACCCGAAAGGAGAGGGTCACGTTGAAAAGAAGGGAGACTTCTGCTGAGGGATACTGCCTGTAAATGGCGAAGTCACAGGAGACTGAATTGGGGAATGAATACTCCTGCCTCTCTCTCACAAATCACTTGTCATTGTGGCCCATGAGCCCATTGCTAGAATCTGCAGACCAGTTAGTCTTGGATGAGAGCAGAGTGAAGAAACAGAGAGAATGGATCTGAAGGCATAAAAGGTGGCATCCAGCACATGTTCATCTGTTCATTCAAGAGACATTTACTAAGCATTTACTATAGCTAGGAGTCCTGGTGTGGCGCTGTGGGTTAATGCGCCAGACTGCAAAGCCATTTGAACTGCAAGGTCAGTGGTTCAAGCTCACCAGCTGCTCCTTGGAAACCCTATACAGGATCGCTATGGGTCGGAACCGACTCGACAGCACTTAATAACAACAACATAAGCTAGGCACTCTGCAAAGATACAAAGTTGAATGACTCTAGATGACTGGTCTACAAGCTGTCCAGCATTAAGAAAAGTTAAGAGATAAAAACAAAATAACAGTAAACAATGAAAAGGAAGTAAGTGTCAGAAAGTATCAAGGGGAGGGTTTACTCGCGCAGAAATTCTTGTAAGCCCTGAAACTCTGAACATTCAAGAAAACTGTCCTTAGACATAAAGGAGTCTCTCTCTCTTTTTAATGTAATGGGGTTGGTGATATAATATGAGGGTAAGCCACAAAGTATTGCTACTAGGGTTCCAGTTTATATATGCACGGGTTTATTCCAGACAAAATATGTTGAAACATGTCTGCGATCAGTCTTAGTTTCATCAAGATGCCTTCAAAAAAAAGGGAAACAAACAAATTTTGCAAAACATCTGTTAGCTCAAAGAACTTATCTTTACATCAGTCTTTGAAGCAAGATCGAAGCTAATGAAGATTTTATGAGATGAATAGTAACCGGGAATAGATCTTGGTTTTACTAATATGATCCAGAGAGTAAAGTTTAATCAAAACAATGGCATCTGAGGCGATTCATTGGGCCAGTTAAATTGAAGGTAGCAAGGTGACTGCTTTCTACGATTCCAAAGGGGTAATCTTGATGGGATTTTCCCCAAGGATGCAGTACCATCATGAAGACTTATCATGTAAATTTTTTTTAAAAAGTGAAAACTACTTTGGTGAGAAAAAGGCCAGGAAAGTTGCACCAAGGAATTATTTTCCATCACAACAAAGCACCTGCTCATTCTTCAACATATAGCTAGGTCTGTCCTACAAGAATTTCTTTGGGAAACCTTATTCCATCCTTCTTAGAGCCCTGATGTTGCCCCTTTAAGCTTCTTTTTGTTCCCCAAACTCAAGGAACACTTAAAAGGAACACAATTTGTGTCCCTCAAGGATGCCAAAACTGCTGTTTTTAGATGATGTAAATTAAAGAGCACAGAATTCCTAGGGGAAAGGTTAGAGAGATGGAGACACTGCCTTCAGAAATGTACAGGCCTAGATTGGAGGAGATGTGGAGAAACCATAGCTTCACATTTGGATACTTTTGTTTAATAAAGGTTTCTATAATTTTGACAATCCTGGTGTGGTACTGTGAGATAAAACACTGGACTGCAAGGTCGGTTTGAACCACAAGGTTCAAACTCACCAGCCACTCCGTGGACACCTTACATAGGGTTGCTATGAGTTGGAATTAACACTAATTCTGACTTTCCTTCATACATAAATTGGGAGCACAGTGGCTCCAGACGATAAGCACTGGACTGCGAACCACAGGGTCCATAGTTCAAGCCACCAGCTGCTCCATGGGGGAAACATGAAGTTTTTCTGCTCCCTTGAAGATTCAAAGCCTTAGAACATACAGGGTCACTATGAGCTGGAACCGGATCAATAACGACACTTAGCAACAACAACATACATAAATTGCTTCCTCATCAAATATTTTTTCATGATCTAAGCATATAAAATGTGTGGTTTAGATTACTAAGTAGCAATCTAAGGAAATGCTCTAAAGAGAGAATATATTAACAATTTACTTGTTACAGCTACGTGTATACTCAATAGTCAACTCAGCTTTCCTTTTAACTGATAAAGAAAGGGGAAAAAAAGTTTTTGGATGACACAGGTCTTGTTTGTTATTGTTGTTGTTGTTAAGTGCTGTTGAGTTGGTTCTAACCCATAGTAACCCTGCATAGGGTTCCTGAGGAGCAGCCGCTGAGCTTGAACTGCAGACCTTACAGTTCAAACCAACTTTGTAGTCCAGTGCATTAACCCACAGCACCACACTAGGACTTCAACAGAAGTATAATTGTTACATACAAGAGCCTAGTGAGTTTTCTAATGATATATGAGCTCGAGAATAAATCTTAGCTTAGTTGGTAAAATAATTTTTAAATGTTAATATTAATAGCAATTACTATTTATGGGACAGTTATTGAACACTTAAGGAGCACTGGTGGTTGATAATCACAACGTTGGTGGTTCAAAACTACTAGCTGCTCCAAGGGAGAAACATGAGGCTATCTGCTCCTGTAAAGATTTACCGTCTCGGAAACCCTGTAGGGGGTTGCTCTCAGTTGGAATCGACTTTATGGCCGGGGGTTTGTCTTTCATTTTTTGAGTACCAGTTCACTTAATCCTCACAAGCATATGAAGTATGATTTACAAACTTCATCTCACAGAAAAAGAAACTGAGGTTCTGAAGGTTGAAGTAACTAATTCAAGGTAACACAGCTGGTAAGAAACAGAAGAATCCAGAGAAAAATCCCCAGGTTGTCTAATTCCCAAACCTGTATTTTTAACATCAATATTATGTTATCCACCACTAGTCTGTCATTTTGTTGCACTATGGTAGCTTGCGTGTTGCTGCCAAGACTGGAAGCTTTGCCACAGGCCATCTCAAATACGAGCAGGGTTACCCATAGAAGATAGTTTCAGAGGAAACTAAGAAAGACTAGGAAGAAGGACCTGGCAAGCTACTTCTTAAACAATTGGCCAGTGAAACACTTGTCTATTTTTTGCCAGTTTAGTTATTTTAATTTATTTTTCTGTGCTTCAGCTTTAATATTTTCTATTTGGTAATCCTGGTCATTGCTGTTTCTAATCTGTGTTAAACTCATCTCCTGAGTTCTTTATTTCAGACACTGTATTTTTGTATTCTAGAATGTTCATTTGATTAAAAAAAAAAATTCTAAGTATCTGTAGATGTTCTCTTTCCTTTTATTTATTTTGTACATTTTTCTCGATTTCCTTGAAAATATGAATCATGTTGGATTTAGCTGCTGTCATGTTGGCCTTTGACTCATGTGTTACAGAGAAGAATTGCTCCAAAGAGTTTTCTTGACTGGAATCAATGTGCCAGACTGCAAAGCCGTTTGAACTGTAAGACTGGCAGTTCAAGTTCACCAGCTGCTCCTTGGAAACCCTATACAGGGTCACTATGGGTCGGAATCAACTCAGCGGTGCTTAATGATGATGATGTATCTTTACAGAAGCACTTACTCTGCTAGGTCTGTCCTCTGCAGAGCCATTGGGTGGGTTCAAACCGACCAACCTTTAGGTGAACAGCTGACTGCATACTCCTAGTACCACCGAGGTTCCTTCATATTTACCACTGTTAGGTGCTTGTAGCAACCCTCTGTACAACAGCACAAAACACTACTCAGTCCTGGGCCATCCTCATAATTGTTGCTATACTTGAGACCATTGTTGAAGATACCGTGTCAGTCCACCTTAGTGAGAGTCGTCCTCTGTTTCACTGACCTTCTAGTTTACCAAGCATGGTGTCCTTCTCCAGGAACTGGTATCTCCTGATACCATGTCCCAAGTACAGGAGACAAAGTCTCAACATCCTCACTTCTGAGGAGCATTCTGGCTCTACTTCTCCCAAGACTGATTCTTCCGGCAGCTCATGGTATAGGTGGAGTCTTCAAGAAATTGCTGGCAAAAATTCCATTATCTTTCAATTCCATTTTTCTAAAGCTTTTTGAAGTTCCCTCATACCGAATATTTTCCCCAACACCATAGTTCAAAGGCATCCATTCTTCTTAGGTCTTCCTTACTCATTATCCAACTTTCTTATGAATATGAGATGATTGAAAATCCATGGCTTGGGTCAGGTGCAACTACCTTAGTTTTCAAAGTGGCATCTTTGCTTATTAACACTTTAAACAGGTCTTTTGCAGTAGATTTGCCCAATGCGATATGTGGTTTGGTTTCCTGACTGCTGCTTCCATTGGTGTTGACTGTGGCTCCAAGTTAAAATGAAAACCTTGGTATCTTCAGTTTATCTCTATGTTGCTTACTGGCCCAGTTGTGAAGATTTTCATTTTCTTTTTGTTGAGGTGTAATCCATACTGAAGGCTGTTGCCTTTGATCTTCATCAGTAAGTGCTTCTAGTCCTCTTTGCTTTTAGCAAGCAAGGTTGTGTCATGTGCACA